CAATATCAGAACGGCTCTCCGTGCTATTTGAGATTGGCAGTGACATATTATCAAACTGATCTAATTTTTTCTGAATTTCACTTACTTGCCTCTGCATATCTTTCAAAAGGAGGTTTAGTTTACAGAACTCAGAGTTCTCTAACAGAACATCTTTCACCTGTATCACAGGAGTGAGATCTGCACTCAAACCATTTTGAGATCTAGTAGTTGATACTGTATTACCAGGCGGTAATGCAGTTATAACCGAATTTGAGCCACTATCTAAAACAACTGTGTTTCTACGAACACGTTTTTTAGAGATTTGGACCATGATTTCAAGGATTATATGACAATGAGCAGTAAATAAATTTCAGTGCAAACACGTGCAAAAATGTCACCAATTTCGAACGTACCGCCAGTTACTAGTGAGTGACTTACGAATCTTTCGGTTTATTCAAAGAGGGTAATTTCTCCGACCCTGCAACATCAAACTTTGCCTTACCAGAGGCTTACAGGAAACGTTTTCTGTATCTGGAAGATGTCCAAATAAGTATTTTGAATTTTTGCGGCATAAAATACTAGTCATTTTTAAAGGGCTATATGGCGGCATCAGTAATCACGAAACTATAAAGTTACTTGTAACTGTCCTTACTGTTGTGCACCCGCATCTCTAATTGATACGTCCAACATGTCGTTATACTGCCTCAATGAATAACTCAATCCAATTTCGGCGCATTTATTATGCTTCACCAGCTTTATTAAACACTTGGCCTGAATCACGTAACTTTAGGCAGACTTCTAGGATTCACTAAACTTGTCATTAGTAACTGTCTACATAAATCGACAGAGTCTGCACATAATTATATTGACGTATGGTAGCAAGTATATATACTTTGGAGTACCGGTCTGGTATGGTGCACTCATGCCTGAAGCATGTTAAATTGAACTTATGAAAAGAAAAGAGGGGAAAAGATTTATTTCATCGAAGTACAAATGTAGTTCATTTCTGTTTGAAGTTGAGGCCTCAGGCATAATCTGCTGCAAGCGTTTCTTCAAAATATTTTATGTAAAAACAATTAGGCCTCTTCTGAATGAAGCATTGATTTCATGGTTTGTGCAGGTTGACCGCTGACGTGTTTGCAGCTGCATACGAATTAAGAGGCCATGTCCAATAAAGGCACATTTCAATCGTGATTAACTAAAAGTAACAATATAAGTAGATGGAAATGCAATATACCTGTAAAACAAGGCTTCTTGAAATGAACTAACATAATATGTAGACAATTCTGAAACGCTCTGCAAGTGCATGGACACGCAAGCAGACCAAAATCTATATTCATTTTGTTACTTTTAAAAACATGTAGCTCAATATTTATACTCCTGTTGAATAACACCACCGTCTTCTGTTGTCCCTGATGTCTTTACGGAAGGTATGGGAAGTCAGCGGTTTCATAATCGGTATCAAAAATCTCGAGCAAGAAAAAAGCATAAAAGTTGGGCAAAGAAAGAACCAACATTAGCGCAGAATAACATGGTTCCATTTTACTTCGTTGGTTCTTATCAGATGCATACATCCTACAATCTTCAGTAAGTAGAAGCCAGAGTAAAGTTTAACGCTCATGTCATCATCATTGTAGGAGCGCCATGTTGAGGTGAAACATTAGGACAAGGTGTCTGAAGTGTAAGTATATATACATATCTTGTTAGAGGGAAGTTTCTAAAAGATTAACTTACAAGTTTTTCCTTAGGGCAGCAACAAAAATTGGTAGCAATTAGATGGTCATATATAAGAAGAACAAGATTTGGTGCGCAAGAGGTCAGACGAAAAGGTGACGATGTTATATGGTGAGTAGATTTCATAAGGCCAAGAAAACATTACCTCTTAAGGAGGATAAACAGAAGAAACGAGGCGATTGGTGAGTTGAAATGATGAGCTGATGAAGTTGTAAAACCAGGAGATATTAAGGAATGAGCCACCAGAGTATCAAATGGTGACATCCAAATCCTCATGGGAGATATGAGTGCCAAATTAGGAGCTGATATTACAGGAAGAGGACTAATCATGGGTCGAAAGGCTATCGCTTGACGGAGTGAATGAGAACGAGGATTATTCGCAGAATTCTGCGCTTTTAATGATTTTGTGATGAGAAGCAGCGTCTACAAGAACAAGGATATACGCAAAGCAACATGAGCTTCGCCTGACGGACAAACCACAAATCAGACGGACTTCGTCTCAGTGCTGCTCAAGGAGGTGGCGAAGCAGGCTGCTTGCTGGATGCAAAGTTGAGGAAGGGAGCGAACGTGGGCCCAGACCATCACCTAGTTCAAGGGAATTTCAGGGTGAAGTTGAATTCCCCCAGAACAACTGGGAACAGACCGAAACTGGAGCTCAACATTTGGAAACTGAGTGGCAAACCCAAAAGGGATGCCTTTATCAAAGATATCAGAGCAAAGTCGGATACACTACACCGAAGAAACTTGTGTGGAAGAACATTGGAATTAGCTGTCTGAAGTTCATATTCAAGGAAACGTGTACAACTGTTCTAAGAAGAAAGAAGAGACCAGAAAGGGAGTGGCTGTCAACGGATACCTACCTGGAAGCTAATCTAGGAGAAGAGAATGGTGTTAGAAAAGATGACTCAGTGCGATGATGAACAGCAGAAGGAGCAATTGAGTTCAATTCTCACTGCACTGAATGAGGAAGGAAGTAAAGAAGAGTGCTAAGATGGACAAAAGACAATTCCGCGACACACTGGATGGCGGCAATTGGAGCAGAACAGGCCTTCAGGCCACAGATAAAAGAGACCCTAGATCATTTTTTCAAACGACCAGCTCGTTCGCTCTTCGGGAAGAGATGAATCCAGATGATGAAATCAATAAAAGATGTTCAAGGGAACCTGATAACGGAAGAGGAGAAACAAATCAAACAGTGGGCTGATCACCTCAGAGGACTCTTGAATCGATCACCATCTGCAACTCGCCCAGAAATACCATCCCCACCGCCAGCAGGACACACAGAACTGCCTGCCAGTAGACACCGTCCTCCGAGCAAAACGAGAATACGTTGATGAGATCAAGCTACTGTACGCCGGCCGGGAAAGGAGCAGGACCAGACGAAGTTCCCCCACCTCAAACCGCTGAAACGGACTCAGAGACCTCCACGGTTGTGTTCATGCCATTATTGTAAAGGTCCGGAAAGGTGCTGAGCCATTAGAAGAAAGGCTGGCTACCCTGTCAAACTAGCAAAGAAGAGCGACTAACTCCTCACTGTGAAAGAACTGGTGTGGAATGATGCTTTTGTCGACGCCAAGTAAAATACTTAGTCGCATCATCCTAGAGAAAATAAAGGATGCAGTGAATCCAGAACTCTGCCAGCCAGCAACAAGTTGGATTCATGAAGGGTAAATCAGTGGCTGATCAAATTGCAACTCTAAGTATCGTCAACGATCAAAGCATAGAATGACAGTCAAACATGTGCCTTAACTCCATCGACTTCGAAAGGCCTTCCACAGACATCGTTGACCGTACCTTGAAGTAATTTGCAATCTGCTTCAACAAAATGGCATGCATTGATCAAATCTCAACCAAGCTCATTCAACAGTGGGTTATATGACAATGCCTCGTGTCACTTGATCCACAATGGAAAACTCAGGGAGGCATTCAAAGTGGCTACAGGAGGAAGATAGGCCTGTCTTCTATCCGCGATGATATTTTTAACTGTGGTGCGACTGTATTATTGGTCAGACAGTGGGGAGCGAGGAGACAGGAATACACTGAACGACCGATAAGAAGACTATAGGATATCTGGATTCCGCGCTTGGACTATTTGTGTTTAATGTCACACAAACTCGAAGACTTACAGGCGAAAACCAACAACCTGGGTAAAGTGGCGGCCAAGACAGGACTTCAGGTGAAAATAGAGAAGACGGAGATGATGAAGATGCCTAACCAACTAACAGCAACAACAAAAACAGCAACCAGCACCATCAACGGGACAGATTTAACAGAGATTACTTCCTTCACTTATCTAGCCAGGAAAAATCTTTTCAACCCCAGGCAGTCGAAATGGATGAAGATGTCAAAGCCAGGGAGGATCGGAAAGACGAGATACGTACGCCGTCATCAACCTGAAAACAATTTGGAAATCTTCTGCTTTCACTCAGCATACCTAACAAGATTCAGATTTTCAACACAAATGTGAAGTCGGTCCTTCTATACTGGTCAGAAACTTGCACAGCGTGTAACGAAAAGAAATTCCAACAGGTTGCAAACTTTCAGCAACAACTGCCTACGCTGGCGCCACATTAAGGAAAGAATTAGCGTCAAGAAACTCCAGGGGCGAGCCAGCCAAGAGTCAATTTCTTAACAAATATGTAAGAGAAAGTGGAGATGCATCGGGCACATGCTGAGGAGACCGTCGAATGACATCGCACTCCAGGTAATTGCTCGAGTAGAATTCAAATTGGAAGCGATGAGTGGGTCGTCGGTGCGAGGGTGACATTATCTTTTTATTTTTTGTTTTGATTACAGCTTGATTCCACACCGTATTTTTGGTACAAGTATGGAATCTTCAACATGGATATCGGTAGCCCAAATTTCGCAGGCCGACCATACATATCAGGTGTGTATCGGCGTGGGCTCGAACCCCGGACCATGTGCATGGTCGGCGAGTCCTAACCACTGTGTGGGGAGGAGGAGATGAGAGATTACGCGAAATAGTGGAGTTAGTTAAAGGGGACAGCCCCAAACAGAACAAAGTGGAGATGTGTTGCTGAAGCTGTATGTTACACTCGGAAACGAAGTGAGCAATAATAATGTAATTATAATACATATTCCTTTTAAACTGTTTCCCTACCGCTTTCTGTTCGATGCTCTTCAAACTAACGGAAAAATTCGTCAGTGGAAGGAAGTCGGCTAGTCAGAATTGTGGTGGCCTTGGTAAAGTGCATAGATTACCTCCAAAGAGATATTGTATATTGGAAACTGAAGTGGATATTCAAACTTGTGCTTTACTTTGAGGTCAGCAATTTTTTAGATCTTCGTTGTGTCTGAAGGTCTGAATGAATTAGAGCTTTTAGGACATGTATTACAAGCGTATACTTCACTACTATTCGTATTAGAAAGTAGGAACTATTCTATTAACTAGAAAGGTTGCCGAGTGAAATAGGCTTTTTAAAGCCTATATGCTCCATTGTGACGAACTTTCAAGCTCATCCTTTAGCATATGCAGATATTGAATTTCAGGGTGTTATCAGTAATCATATTTATAGGTTAGCTTTCGAAACCTATTTGGTTGAATGAACCGAATTATTCACGCACAAATCTGAAGATCGCCTCCAGAAGAATTGTGGTAATTTTTAAACAGAGGTCTTAATCAATGTATTCTAATGATGTACCAGTTTTCCTATGTTAAGAAACAAAAGGATTTAGCTCTCAGCCATAGTTTAATTAGTGCATTACTGTAATCTGTATATATGTATTTTCATTACAGCTAGATTCCACACTGTATTTTTGCTACAAGTATGGAATTTTCAGCTTAGATATCGGTAGCCAAAATTTTGCAGGCCCAACATAGATATCAGATGTGCGTCGACAGGGGATCGAACCTCGGACAATGTGCATGGTCGGCGAGAGTCCTAACCACTGTGCCACCGGCGCATATATATCAGTAGTAATTCCATACCAAGAAGGAACCTCGGAAACCTTACGCAGAATTCTTAACAAGGCAGCAATAAAAGTGGCATTCAAACCCACAAACTCAATTAGAAACAAACTTAGTCGATTAAAGGATCCTGTCTGTGGAGTCTTTGAAACAAAACAATTTAGTTTATTTATTACCCTACTGTAATGATTGTCAGATCAAATACATAGGTCAAAGTAGTAGAACCGGTGCAGTCAAACTGGTGGAGCACAAAAACGTAACAAAATATGGATTAGTTGACCTGAATAAGATAAGAAATCTAGAGAATAGTTCGGCTTTAGCACACACTACATGCAATTATACACAACCATACAATAGGATGGGATAAGATGACAGTTTTCTTAAATCTAATGGAACAAGGTGGAGGAAGAGTGGATAACGGAAGCTTTAGTTAACGAATCAACTACAAATACATGTAATAGGAATGATTCAACACCTTTCCTAGATATCTAGAAAATCTGGAAAAAATCCTGCGACAAATAGGAAGGTATAAAAGAAACTATAAAACTCAAGTTTTGAAGTCGTTTGATTACAACTGATTTGATTATGAACAATAAATTTTGTTTGAAACTGTGTCATCCAGTAAACGATACTGTTTTAATATCAGTAAAATGTTTGAGCATTGCGGATTAGATTAAATAAAGTGTAATTATATTTCAATAGTTTACACACAATGATAAGTTTTGTTATTGGTAATATTTCGAGCAAAATTACTAATAACAAAACTTATCATTGTGTGTAAACTATTGAAATATAATTATACTTTATTTAGTACTTTCACTGTGATATATCTGATAAACAAACTAATATTAAAACCTTGACGTTCTCTTATAAACCCTGGAGTCGAGACAAGGCTCACTGGCTTCAGCAATTGACTTACATCCAATATATCACAGATTTGAGTCCATCTTCACAATTTAGCCCGGACAGTTGTGTAGTATTGTCTGCCCTCACATAATAAGTGTGACTCTTATGCCAGTGCCTCGTAGATCTGCTCCGGATAATTGGCTCCAAACAAAACCCTAGAGTTGATCTGTATCGTGCACTCCGTTGCCAAGCTCACCTTTCTCATATTCTCAAATATATATTTGTTTAAGATGCTTGCCTTCACATCTGCGTGAAAATATATATCATTATTCTCTATTTTTTAGGTTTTCTTAAATTATACCTCACTAAATGTTGAGGCGAAGATTCCTGTGTAGAGTCATCCGACTATACAATACTTGTACGGATGTGGAAGTGTCGAGACTCCCACGACACAATGATTGTTTACTGATGTGGAATAAAGTCAAAAATCAGCAGATTAATCTATGCATGTCACCGCGTGTTGAAAAAGTTACAGTTAGTTACGATGGCATTCTGGGGAAATCAACTTTGGAAATGACTAAGGGCATATCAACTCCTTTAGACTGTGCCAAACACTTATCTGAAATGTTGGTTAAAGAAAGTGCTATTGCTATGGTTAACAATGTACCTTGGGATATGAATCGTCCATTGATATGCGACTGTTCACTTGATTTTGTTCACTTCAAGGTTCGTTTTAATTTCCGCTTTGCATTTCGTACTTCATATCGCTAATTTATTCATTCTGTGACAGTGTGGTTTATTGTTTTATATGCTTTTAAATAATTGACTCACGACTTATAGGGTGCTTAATGAGGTTTGATCACTAGCCATCGTCACATTAATTGAGGTTTATCGTCTAGTTCCTAAATGTAACTGGAAACATGAGTTAATACCTCAAGTACGATTATTTTTCCACGCCGTAGTAAATGGACATGTGTTCGCTATAGGTCATATGAGCAGTTAAAAATCATTCCAGATGACAATTGTGTTCGTTATCTCATAAGACTAAGGATTCATAATGTATTTTAACATGGCAGTAAGAAGTGGCTTAACAGAAACGCGTACTGCATTTAGGTGATATGGTGAACAATTCAGTTATCTATTTATGATAAGTTTGTGAAATGTTATATGGGATTTATAAGCGGAATCGAAGGTAACTCACCCGGTATCACGTGTCAAGTAAAATTTTTGAGCATGTTCTCTAAAGCTTTTTGTGTCATTAACTTCATTTATTCGTATACTGATAAATAAATTGTCTATAGATTACTTTTTATTGTCACATTTACATAGAGTAAATAGGGTTACGTTTAGACAACTATTAATGGTCCCCTCTTGATAGTTTTCAGCAGTTGGCTGAACATTTTGACTAACAAGTATATAAGTAACATCTCAAAAATGTTCTCTGCTTTGATAGTTAGCTCAGCACTCATCAGTTTCTGATGCACCTTGGAAAACCACCTGTGTTAAATAAGCATGCCAAACCTTATATTTTGTTAAAACCCCACTGGACTACAAACTTTTGTGTTTGTTTTGTAACCTGTAAATCTTATTTTTGTTACTAGAGTCTCAGAACTGTGGTATTTTTTTCTTTCCTTCACGTTCCCCAGTGGGACATGGGGCTTCAAGCTAGTGGCTTGAAGTTTCTGTTGCAGTGTTTAATTTTACAGGATGGGGTTGCTAGCTTCATGCCCAACCTTCCCTATTTACCAGCATTATTTCTGGTTTAGCGAGGTAAAGGAGTGCGTCGGTGGCCGGGGATCGAGCCCCGGACCATGTGCATGGTCGGCGAGCGTCCTAACCACCATGCCACCGACGCAATATATATATATATATATATATATATATATATATATATATATATATATATATATCATTAGCTTAGAAATAGGTTGAATACCATCAGTCGTAATTTAGTATTCCTTTTTTGAAGTCTTGGTCTGTAGGGATTTGATTGGTTTCAGGGTTTCATCATGAGCTAGCATCGGTCAGAAAACCATTGGAAACCGTCAGGGGAGTACTAGACAGCTGTTTCTCCAGCCTGGTTTGGGACTCTTCAACACTACACACCCAACGGCACTATTCCTGATTCCCAAACGTTGTCTAGTACCTTATTTAGCCCAGGCAGTAAATTGTCTCTAGCGTCCTTGAACACCTCTGGAGCCATTCCATCAAGTCCCGCTTCTTTGCCTCGTTTCAGACTAGAGACAGCCTTTGTGACCTCAGTCTAGGACGGGGGACTTGTTTATATCCCATTCAGAGAGTTGTTGGGTGATTGGTAAGTTGAGCGTGGCTGTAGGCCAGTTAAATCACTCCTCAAAATGTTCCTTCCAGAGTTCCAGTCGTCTATCCTAAGATCTAATTAGGGTGCCATTTTTCTCGGTGATTGTCTTAATTATCATTCTCCTTTTGCCACCTGTTTCCCTGATAAGCTTTGATAGTTGCTGGGTGTTACCTATCGCCGATGCCTTTTCTATCTCTTGCTTTTGTTGCCCCACCACTGTTCACAATCATTGTTAAGACTTTCTGTCGGTTTGCGTTTGAGCGGATTTCGCTCCTCATCATATTCGGAGCTCGCTGAAATCGTTCTTGCATTTGCCAGTTCGAACGAGATAGCAGAAATCCATTTGCTTTGACTAACTTGAAGTCTTAGGCTATTAACAGCCTTTACAGGTGTGTCTACAGTTAACTGCATATTGTCCCAGGTTTCTTCAGGAGTTGTCTTGCTGTCGATCTCAGATACGCTTTTGTGTATTTCTTCCTTAAATAGGGATTCAGTGTCCTGATCAAGGTGAGGACGTAACTGCTTCGTTACTAACAGTTTTTTGTTTCCGTTTAGTCGTAAGCATAAATGTGGAATAACCAGGGCGTGGTCGGAAGGAACGACAGTCTTCTCCTGACGACAGTCTGTCGCCATGTGGTCTAATCGAATCCAACGTTGATCCGGTGAAGGAGGTCTTCAGGTTAGGCAATGTCTCTCTTTGTACCTGAACTTAGTGCTGACTTGGAACAGATGATTATCTGAACAGAACTGTAAAAGACGATTACCATTGTCAGTCCGTCGGCAACGGACCCCGTAGGTACCGCCTTCCTTCTTCTAACGAACTTGTTCAGACGGACCTCACACATACGACTATCTACTGAAATCTAGTCAAGAGGGGGTTGTTTTGCCCTAACAATCAGTGCTATCCATACACCTGCAAGTCCTCGTGAACTAGCGAGGTAATCACCTAACATCCGTTAGGTGAATTTTACAGATTCACTTTGTCGGCTATGTTAGGTTACATGAATAACCATACTCAGGTCTTGTGTGCGTGTCTCGGAAACACAACATACATCCACGGCTCGAGATGCCAGAGTTCTGGCTATTGATGCCTGTTGTGGGACTCAGTAGAAGGTCCGACGGTTAAATGCCTCAAAATGAATTATGCGGCGTGGTTTTAAGAGACTATCGGAAGTGTTTTTTTGGCTCTCGTCTCTATTTACGGTCACGGAATGAAATGAAGATGACTGCCCAGTCTGCAGAATAGTATTAACGTTAGGAGGAAAACAAGATGATGAGGCTGACTTTAGTTACAGAAGAATGATGATCAGGAGGTGCTTTTGGGAGTGTGTCGGCAGTTGTTACTTCCCAGCTGCCCACATCGTAGAAGTTGATTTTTTTCTTGGGGTACCTAAAACAGAGAGAATTATTGTTCTGTGATAGCAGAGCCTAAGGGATAACCGCCTGAGGCCGGTCACTAACGGCCTGTTTGAACTGGTTTCTTGGTTACCACTGGTTACAGACCACCGTAGAGTAAGTCGGGATGTACAATTTTTGGGGTCAACCTTTTATAACCCCCTCTCTCCTAAGTGGAGAGTGCATAGCTAGTATGTTGGCCATCTGAGGGAAACACCTTAATGCTGTTACATCCCTGTTCCGCAGCAGTACGACTTTTCCCACAGACCCCGAGGATAGTGTAAAATATCTCACAATATGTTGGTAACTGCTTCTAGTCTAATTTACGCCCTGACAGTCTTCTTGCAATATTAGAACCTACAGGAACACTAGTTCCAGCCAGTTGTAGCCTGTTGGGTCATTGCGATATGCAAGCCTGACCACCACATCAACGTAGAAGCTATCGATCGCAACGATAGAAAACGAAATTAAGTTAGTTGTTTGTTTCACATACTAGTTACTATCAGTCTTTTTCCGCATTAACTATAACGTCCTATCTTTTATATAAGTGATACAAATAACCTACTACTTGTAGTGGCTGCTCCTTTTCATTAAGATACTGACAATTCTATAACTACATGGATGTATATCGTTAATGTAATCTTACAGCAGATGGAATTCGGATTTCCTCCATATTAAATGAGTTTATTCGTTATACCTCAGAGTGATATGGTGTCACTAAATGGATATATTTTCAAACATAATTCCTCCTTTAGTATCATATCACTCATGTACAGATTTATAATGTCACACGACGGGAGAGTTCTAAACTTGTATGATGAGGTTATGTTGGTTTAATTTGTACTCGGCGTTGTTAAATACTTAGATAATGCGTCTGTACATAATCAGATGTGTTTCCGACCGGTTAAAACTGTAACTATTTCGTCGAGTAGTATTTCCTACAATGTTCTGCATACACTTATTACTCTGATGTAGTTATCCACACACTTACCTAAATAACACTTACTGTAGCATAAATTGGACTCATTTTATTTTTTGTTGGTTTCTTATCGACTGCATACAACCGGAATAATCAGAATTAGTTGTTTTATTACAATTTTAACATACCTTAAATCATTATAGATAAATTGTTGAACAATAAGAGTGATCATGGAATGCACAAACGTATCGAAATGTCGATTTAGTAAGATACTTCTCAAAATTTCTCGACTGAAACAAGAAATGTTGGAAGTAAGGGTAGCAACAAGATATTGAGGCACTTAAACTATAAAATCATGTGGATCATTAAAAAACTGCTAATCAACAAATATTAATATATATATATATATATATATATATAGTCATGCTCACTTAGATATCAGACATATGAAGCATGGCGTTTAGTAAATGGTGACGTAACTAAGTGAATGTAAAGTGGAATCAACACTTAATTTTAACGAAAGATGATATAACCAGTTAAGGTTATCAAGGTGGCGAAAGGCTTACTATGTCTTGTGTTTGAATAATTAAGTCAGGTCCTGCCTGTTTAATAGTTAACGGCATCTGAGAGCTATATAGGAGGCTTGACCTTGCTTGTTGGTTTATTATTTTGAAGGAATTCAGTATGTCTATCTGATGATTTACCTGCTCCTATAAGTATAAAACTTGGGCAGTGTGGTAGAGTATAACTCCACTATAGATAAGATTTTATTTTGATAAAATCACAGTGTTATACAGTAATATATACACAGTTAATGCTACCGTATAACACTGTGTGATTTATCAAAATAAAATCTTATCTATAATAGAGTTACTTCCTCTTAGTCGCAGACTTTTCGGTAAATGTTCACAAAATCTAAGATAGATCCATCTACCTATTCTTCAACAACTACACTTGAGTTGTTATAGACAACCGGAGCTAAGAAAGGAAGGGTATCTGTGGACTTTTGACCGAACTAATGAAAATCCTGTTTAGTACGCAAGAACCATTCGAGCCACAGGGAATGTCCTAGCCAGTGGTTTTGTAATTGACTGACGTAATATTGGTGCCGGGAATCCGAATCTTGTTCTTTATGCTGAGTTAGCGCAGAAGATTTCCAAACCGATTTCAAATTCATCAGGGTGTATCTTGTCTTTCCGACTCTGACTTTGACGTCTTCTTCCGTTCCACCTGTTGTTGGAATTGTGCTTCCTAAGTAAAGAAAGCAATCTCATTAAAATCCGTTGATGGTAATTGGTGCTGTTTGTTACCGTTGTTGGTTGGTTGTCTTCATCGCCGTTTTCTCCATGTTCACTTGCAGTCCTGTCTTCGCTACCAGTCTCTTCAGCTAGTTTGCTGGTTTCCACCTGTAAGTCTTCGACTTTGTGTGACATTAGACATAAATCATCCACACGCGAAATCCAGATCTTCTAGAGTCTTCTTATCAGTCCAACGTATTCTTGTCTTTTCGCTCCCCGCAGTCTGACGCATTATGCTGTCCGCCACATTTAGGAATATCATCGGTGATAATGGCCAGTCTTGTCTTACTCCTATATTCACTTTGAACAACGCGATGTGTTTTCCGCTGTGGATCGCCTAGCACATGACATTATCATAAAGCCAGCTGTTGAATGAGGTTGATAAGAACTTGGGCACTGCACGCCATAGTGTTGAAGTAGTTTCCAGATTACTTCACGGTCAACGCTTACGAATGCCTTTTCAAAGTCGATGAAGTTGAGGTAGGAGTTTGACTGCCATTCTATGCTATGCCTCACCCATAGTCTTGTCCTAATTAAACTTAAAGAGTAAGTTGTCCATCCAGTCCATTTGGAATGTAATAATCAGATAAATAAACGATACCATTTGTATAAGAAGTTATCAGCGGTGACAGCATCTTTATCAACAAGTCATAGTGATTAAATGGTCTTAATATGCTTTATTCTGCTCGATAAAGGTTTACAATGTGAATGGGCTCAAGTGACTTCGGTTTGTGGCAAAGACTGCTGCTAGGGGCGATACTGATGAAAATATTACTGTAACATTTTTTATAAACAGTCTTATTTACTATGCTGTATAGACGTTTTCATTATCGCTTATTATCTTTCTGTTTTAGGATTCTCACATTGATCCAACAGCTGCAAACAATGCATTTTGGCAGTCATGTACTCTCCTTTTAGCAGCTGCCCTAGAGACAGCTTTTCACCATAAACACAATGTTCGCGTAATCAGTCTCCCGGTGGTCAGTCCACAAAGCGGTGGATTCACATGTGATATTTCATTCGATCCCACCCACAAGTCATTTACTAACTGGATACCGTCATCTCAAGAATTATATGCACTAAGTACCCATATTCAAAGGATGGCAATTAATGAATTAAATTTTGAACCGTTAGATGTGCCGGTTGATAATGAACTATTTCAAAAGTTGTTTGCAGATAATCCTCTACGATCGAAACAAATCAGTCAGGTTTTTAACAGGCAAAGTGTTGGTGAATCCCAATTCAACGAAAGAAATTCTCTGCCTGTCTATCGGGTTGGAGACTTTGTTGAGGTAATATTTTTTTGGTCTGCTATTAAAATCATTATCATACCGATATTACTGACATGCAGAAATTTTTTTAATAGCCTAGTTATACTAAGTCTATGAGAAAAAATTTATGGCACATAGAGTAAATGTAATTTTTGATTGCAAATAAGCGTGACTGACCGACTTACTGGTTCCAACATAGAACTTTGCACCGACGTGCAACAGTTCGAGTCTCCACACTCCATGTAGCACACAAAGCAAGAGAAGAAAGTAGAAAGAAATGCAAAATAGAGACGGTAAACATAGATATAAGGCAAAAAGAATAATAATAATATCGAAGAACAATATAGTTTTATTGGGTATTATAAGCGTACTCAAAACTATCTAGATGATAGGTGGATGGAGAGGTTGATTATTGTACATATGTTCATGGAATCTACAACTAACATGTGTACTCGGAGTGGTACAAGACCAATACCAGAGATATGAAAAATATCAAAATCAAAGAGTAAGAAGTGGTGGAATTATAAAAACAAAGTGTGAAAGTTATCTGAATGGCTTGATATAATTATGAGAGGCAGTAAATTGTGCTCAAAAAGTCATCAGTAAGTAATACTGTATAACGCTTTGTGCTTTTATTATCTAGTAAATTTCCTCTATGATACCTTCAGAGATAAGAATTGAATTCATTGATATGTCAATATAGTATCACAAATGCTGACACTGTAAGTTTCCCCAGTAGGTATAAAACGGTAAATCTTCAGTCTAGTAATTGGAATTTTATTCATTCATACATCTATTCTCCTCTATAAATTTGAATGAAACGCAATGGTTTGGGCACAATAAGATATCATATCATTTATGTTGTTGATCCAATGGTAGAGTGCTCATCAGCTATGCAGGTGGTTCAGGTCCGATTCTCGGTCCCAACGCTCTCCTAAATATCGCCTAGCGGGTAGTAATCCCAGAAAAGAGCGAATGTTGAGCGTGGGGCTAACATCACAGCCCCGTAAAAAAATCACTGTTACTGAAACATTAAAGCTTTAAGCCGTATGTTTCCCCGACCGAAAGCTGCTACCCTGACGTGGTGGTCGGGCTTAAACACCGCAATGACCTAATCAAGCTATACTGGCTGAGACTTATGTCTCTTGAGGTCCTACCATGCCAGGCAGGTTGTTTGGATAGCGGTTAAACAAAAAGCAGCTACCCAATCCAACATCATGATCCATAAAAAACTACAAAATTTCATGCCGGATCGGCCGTGGCCCGGATTAACAACGACCGCGCTTCCTGCTGCCGTGTCACAGGGCAGGAGTGATAAGTATGCTACTGAGGCACACCAAACAAAAAAGAATGAACAAAAACAGGCCGCGTGTGACCGGCCTCAAGCAGTTGTCCCCTGGGCTCTGCGGTCACGCAACCAACTTCCACGGTGTGGGCAGCCGGGAAGTAACAATCGCCCTCACAATCCGAAATGCACACGAAACCTCTCTAATCCTCACTCATCTTTGTCTTCATCTTCATCTCTATCATCTTGCCTTCCTTCCACTGATGCAACTCCTCGACTTGATAGCTCTTCACTTCCTCTCCACTCTGCGTCCACTAAAAACGATGGAAGCCAAAAAACCACCACCGACAGCCTCTTAAAGCCGCGCCACCAATTTCATATAGGAGCTTTTAATGTTAGGACACTTTGCCAAATAGGACAACAAGCATCACTAGCCAAGACCCTGGCATCCCGAGCCATTGATGTATGTTGTGTTTCAGAAACACGCATACAAGACCCAAGTGTGGTTATTCACCTAACCCCACCTGGCCAACAGGTTGAATCTGCAAAATTCACCTTGAGGGTGTCAGGAGATGCCACAGCTAGTTCACGAGGATTAGCTGGCGTAGGGATAGCTTTGAGTACTAGGGCAGAAAAGACATTGCTTGACTGGATCCCGGTAGATAGCCGAATGTGTGCTGTCCGTCTGAACGGATCAGTAAAAAGGAGAAAGGACTGCACTACTCGCCGATGCCTTTTCGTAATCTCCGCCTACGCCCCCACTGACTGCAGTTCAGATGAAACGAAGGATGAGTTCTACCAAAAGCTGTCTAGTTTGGTGCGAAAGGCTAAACGCTCAGACATAGTCGTTCTAGCTGGTGACTTTAACGCTCAAGTAGGGAAATTGTGTCAATCTGAGAAGGATGTCGGTGGCACCTATGGAGTCCCGTGCCAGCGAACCGACAACGGTGACCGTCTCCTACAGTTCTGTTCAGATAATCATTTGTTTCTTGTAAGCACTAACTTCAAACACAAGGAGAGACACTGTTTGACTTGGAGACCCCCTTCATCAAACCAACGCTGGACACAAATAGACCACATAGCAATAAGCTATCGTTGGCGTGGGTCGGTAGGAGATTGTCGCTCCTTCTGGAACACGTGTATAGATACCGACCATGCACTGGTCCGCGCTCGGGTGTGCTTACGACTGAACGGACGTAGGAAACAGCTGGCGGTAAAACCATCACGTCCCCAGCTCGATCAGGAAACTAAATCCGTATTTGAGGAAGAACTAGCTAAACACATATCTGTGTTCGACAGCTGTGCTCACCCTGAAGAAGCTTGGAAGAATATCCAGGCAGCCATAGATACAGCTGTAAAAGCTGTGAATAAGGTAAACCCAAAGGTGAGTAAAAACCACTGGATCTCCACCGCCTCATCCGAACTGATAGATGCTAGAAGACTTATTCCGGCGAGCTCCGAATTCAATGAGGAGCGAAAGCTGCACAAAAGGAAACTTACGAAAAGTCTCCGCAAGGACCGTGAACAGTGGTGGGTGACAAAGGCGAAAGAGATGGAAAAAGCATCGGCGATAGGCAACACCAGGCAACTCTTTAGTCTCATCAGGGAAACGGGTGGGAGAAGGCAAATCATAAGTGAAACGACCTCGGAGAAAAATGGCACCATAATTAGCTCCCAGGATAGACGACTGGATCGTTGGAAAGAGGACTATGAGCAGCAGTTTAATTGGCCCACAGCCACGCTCAACCTTCCGAACATCCAACACCCCCCTGAATGGGATATAGACACAGGTCCTCCGTCCCTAACTGAGGTTACTAAAGCTGTCACCAATCTGAAACTAGGCAAAGCAGCGGAACCTGATGGAATGACTCCAGAGGTATTTAAGTACGGTGGAGACAGTTTAGTGTCTGCATTAACTGAGGTACTAGGCAGCGTCTGGGAATCAGAAGAAGTCCCATCGGGTTGGTGTAAGTCACTGATTATCCCCATATACAAGAAGAGAGACAAGTCTTCCTGTAATAATCACAGAGGGATTAGCTTGACTAATATAGTATCTAAAGTCTTAGGCTCAATAATCATGCGTAGACTGAGTAGTGCTCTGGAGGCACAAACACGAGAGAGCCAGACAGGCTTTAGACCAGGAAGAGGGTGTATTGATCGTATCTTCACCCTCCAACAGATTCTAGAACATATGCATTCCTACCGACGTCCAACAATTATTATATTTCTTGACCTAAAGGCGGGATTCGATTCTGTCGATCGAGAGGTTCTCTGGAGATGCTTGGCTGTTAAAGGTATTCCGAGAAAATATATTGTACTGATTAAGGCACTCTACTCGTACTCATACAGCCAGGTGAGGGCTGACGGTGAGTTGTCATCTGAATTGGTGACGACTAGTGGTGTCCGTCAAGGATGCCCATTATCCCTCTTTCTATTCAACTTCATCATAGATGTACTAATGGACTTAACCCTAAGTCTCGGGGATTGACTTGCTACCAGGGAATAATCTCGTTGACTTAGAATATGCTGACGATATAGTCTTTCTAGGCGAGGACGCTGACAGAATGCAGAGTTTTCTAAACACCTTGAGCTGCAATCTACGAATGTTTGGCATGCGATTCGCTCCCGCCAAATGCAAGATGATGTTACAGGACTGGACTACACTGACTCCTAGATTAGAAATAGGGAGTGAAGTGGTAGAGCACGTTGACCGCTTCACTTACTTGGGAAGTACCATCAACCCCAACGGGTTGATCTCTGACAAAATCTCAGCACGGATACAGAGGGTAGTTTCGCATATTCCAGTTTACGCCGGCTGGCTATCGACCAAAGGGCGGGTGTACTGCTCATCAGTCCGCTCCGTCCTCCTTTATGGCTGTGAGACCTGGTCACCAAGAGTGGAAGACATGAAAAGACTAGCTGTCTTTGATCATAGGTGCGTGGATTCTGTTTCCCGTGTGAAGTGGTATAATAAGATGAGCAATATTGAGGTTAGGCACTGGTCGAGTGCTAGGTAGGTGGGAGGGGAAATAAATCGACGGGGTTGTGAAGTTACATAGACTGAGATGGTTAGGACATTTGTTACGTATTCCTAGTCATCACCTTCCTCGACGGGCAATGTTAGCGGATATAGGGTCGGGCTGGAAAAAAAGCTAGCGGAGGTCAAACCAAAACATGGAAACAGTCAATGAAATCTACAACAGTTAGTCTAAGCCACGTAGGAAGGTTGGAGACCTCGGGACGGCAAAAACAAATGGTTGGAAACACTTGGTGACATGGCTCAAAATCGTTCTCAGTGGCACAGATGCATCCACTCCTTGTGACCTGTGATTTCCAATGAAACTGTTTTGTTCTTCGTTATTACTCTTCCTTAGTCTCACACCTCTACGTACTGTCTCTATTATGCTTTTCTTGTACTTTCTTCTCTTGCTTCGCGTGCTACGTGGAGTGTGGCGACTTGAACCTCCGCACATATGTGCAAAGTTCTATGTCGAAAACAGATAGACAGAGAGTATGTTCCGGTCCAAACTTATTATTATTGTTCCCTTAGGTTCCTAGCGGAACATCGGGCTTCAACTGCATGTCTCCACTTGCTTCTGTCTTCTGCTGTAATTTTCACCTGTATACATGTTAGTCCATAATGTTTCAACACCTCTTCACACGATCTCCTCCATGTCACTCTTGGACGTCCCACTCGCCGCTTCCCACTCTGTCGTGTTCCACTCGAGCAATAGCA